GAATTCCTACGATGGATTAAACTGCAAAATCGTTCATGGAGGCCAGTTGGCAAAGTCGTTCGAAGTAAAGACCGGTGTCAGGCAAGGTTGCTTACTCTCACACTTTCTCTTTCTCCTGGTGATCGACTGGATCATGAAAACGTCAACATCTGAAGGGAAACACGGGATACAGTGGACAGCTAGGATGCAGTTGGATGATCTAGACTTCGCAGATGATTTGGCTCTTCTATCGCATACGCAGCAACAAATGCAGGAGAAGACAACCAGTGTAGCAGCAGCAATAGGTCTCAATATACACAAAGGGAAAAGCAAGATTCTTCGATACAACACAGCATGTACCAATCCAATCACAATTGACGGAGAAGCTTTGGAAGATGTAAAAACCTTTACATATTTGGGCAGTATCATCGATGAACACGGTGGATCCGATGCAGATATGAAGGCACGGATTGGCAAAACAAGAGCAGCATATTTACAACTGAAGAATATCTGGAATTCAAAACAATTGGCAAACAACACAAAGGTCAGAATTTTCGATACAAATGTGAAGACAGTTCTACTGTATGGGGCCGAAACCTGGAAAACCACGAAAGCCATCATCCAGAAGATACAGGTGTTTATTAACAGTTGTCTACGCAAAATACTTCGGATTTGTTGGCTGGACACTATTAGCAACAACCTTCTGTGGAAGAGAACAACTCAGATCCCAGTGGAGGAAGAAATTAGGAAGAAGCGTTGGAAGTGGATAGGACACACATTGAGGAAAGCACCGAACTGCGTCACAAGACAATCCCTCACTTGGAATCCTCAAGGCCGAAGGAGGAGAGGAAGACCAAAGAATACATTACGCCGAGAAATGGAGATAGATATGAGAAAACTGAACAAGAATTGGATGGAACTAGAAAAGAAGGCCCAGGACAGAGTGGGTTGGAGAATGCTTGTCGGTGGCCTATGCTCCATTGGGAGTAACAGGCGTTAGTAAGTAAGTAAGTGAGCCTTAGAAATATTGCTCGCATCTGCTGGGATCACCGGGTAAGTAATAGTGAGGTTAGACGCAGGGTATTAGGGAATGATGGTAAATCAGTTGATGAGGTTATGAATCTTCATCGACTGAGATGATTGGGCCACGTGTTACATATGCCTGAACACCGATTACCACGATGCACAATGATGACTAGTGTTGGAGACAATTGGAAGAGAGTTAGGGGTGGCCAAACCAAAACGTGGCATCAGTGCTTGAAGTCACTAACTTCTAGTCTTAGCCATGTTGGAAGATTCAGACTACTTGGTTGGGGTCCGCTTGACTATCGTAGCCGATGGTTGGCGACTTTTGGTGACATGGCTCAGAATCGATCACAATGGCGTAGGTGTATACACTCTCTGTCTTCCTTAAACTAAGAGAATAAAATCGCTTCATATCTTTCTTTCTACGAACTAATTCTTTATTCCTGTACTATATCCTTATATGCAATATTTCTTTTATATATTACTACCAATAAAGTAACTAGTTCTATGAATCCGGTGTTCGTCTTGCTGTGCTAATGAGGTGTGGCAACTTAGACCTATGTATGTATGTGCCTGGTCCTACGTTGTATCTCACTGAGTGTACGTTGCCTGTTAATTATTTGAAATGCTTATGAGTTATACACTCTGTCTACTATCCACTAAATGTTTATTGATCGCAGCTGTGAATACTTTGATTTCAGACACAGTTCATGGTGAATATACTCGGAAATCCTCTCAGATACATTCTTATAATCTTTCCTACCTACATGCTTCCACAGTTATTTAGTTATTCCCGCCCAACACAACAAGAGAAGCTTAGTGGTCCTTCGGGAAAAGAGAAGAGCCTTCCTTATAGATTGCTACTGGGCACTGGAGAAATAGGAGTAAAAGCTTTCATTTTGGTTCACTTTATGTATGTGTATATTTAGGGATTATGATATCAGTAGCATGGCGGATCCACTTTGCCCTCATTTGTTGTACAGACGGATACATTTTGGCCCACACTTCATTTTCTCACCACTCGCGAACGCTTTTGTGCAAGCCAAAAGCGCTGATGGGCTACTAATGAGTTCACTAATTGAGACTGGAATTTTCTCCCAAGTATTTCGTATATGCATATATTCAAATGTACATATCAGTGATATCAACATCCTAGTGATACAAATACATGCATAGGTGGGCGTGGTTGCTAGTATGCATTACATACAACCATAGAATTCGCAGTCCACTCACCCCATTAGTACTTACAGCCATCGAAGTTCCCGCATTATGTAGACCTATAAAACACATAGGCCGAGGCCCATACAGTCCATAGGATACTTATAGGCATAGATGTAATCACCCCATGCTCTATCTCAACGGCTTCAATCACTGAATGAATATAAAGTATTCAAATCAGTACAAAAAATACGTTATCATAAATTATATGCTCATACAACAAGTAGGTTTAGTGTCGACCACTGTGCACCGGTTACAGCACAGTTTATAGCCTACGCTCTGATGAATTTGTCATTAAAATTACCGGTCATATGAGGACATTTGATTTGTGGAGTTGAGAAAGATAATACATGAAAGGTAAGAGTGTTCCTTCTGCCTTAAGTTCATTATAAGTTGGAACATCAACCAACTTCTTTAGAAGTTCTTTAAGAAGTATTTAGTAATTAGTCTACACTCTCTGTCTTCCTTTAAACGAAGAGATTAAAATCGCTTCATATCTTTCTTTCTACGAACTAATTCTTTATTCCTGTACTATATCCTTATATGCAATCTTTCTTTTATATATTACTACTAATAAAGTAACTAGTTCTATGAATCCGGTGTTCGTCTTGTTGTATTAATGCTGTATGGCAACTTGAACCGATGCATATATGTGCCTGGTCGTTTGTTGCAGCTGACTGACTGAGTAATTAGTCTGTTTCTTTTATTAATACATATAGCCCAATCAGTCTTGGTTTTCGTAGTTGAATCATGTCGGAAAAAACTTTCATTTAATTTTTAAGTTCCCAAATCTTCGTCTGTTGTTATCACTATCTCAGCTTCACTTTTGGTTTGGAAAATGTTGGCCTCCTAGACGTAATTGTCTTTGGGAATTCTCAAGAAACTTTCTAGGCTAAACTTTTTAAAAAAAATAATGATATTCCCTATATTCAATTTAATATAATTTAAAAATTACAGCTCTCCATAATCTATGTTTTCAAATCATAACTTGAGTTAGGTGAAACAACCATTGGAAATTAGGAAGCAATGGACAGCTTTCTTGTGTTAGCATGAAAATCCTTGGGAGTGCACACCTAAGACCCAGTAAATGCTACAAGAGAAGTAGAAATCAAAAGACATGATGCGACCAAGGATTTTGTAGGGAACTTTAGTAAATCAGAGCGACCAGTCACTGAGATTCATGAGCAGCGTAACGGATGCGTAGAACATTTGAATAGCAATTAAATAGGCCCAACACACTGAACTGACCGCAGTACACACAGACTCCTTTATTGATTACGCCACCCCAACAACTGAATAAATGAGCAAGGCCATGAGAAAAATAGGGTGGCAACGCAGTAAGACCAGACAGCATTCCATATGAATTGTTAAGATCAGATACAGAGGTCACTGCAAAAATATCCCATGTTCTTTTCAGAACGATGTCAAACGAAGTACAAGTATCAACAGAGTGGAATGTGAAATACTCATCATGATATCGAAGAGAGGTAGACGTGAGAACTATAGAGGCATCAACACTGCTGTCAGTACCAGGTGAAGTCTTCAACAGTCTTGCTGAACCGAATGAAAGATTCAGCGGACATCCAACTTCGAGATCAACAAGCTGACTTTCGTAAGGATCGACCACTTACCGGCCAAATTATAACTGCGGATTTTTGTCGAATAATCAATTTTATAGAACTGAACACTACAAATCAGATTTCTTGACTATGAGGATACATCCGACAGTTTGTGTAGAAAAGCGTGGGATCTTTTTCAGCTCCAAGGATTATCAGTAACCCGCTCTCGTGTTTTATCTTTATTCTGGTTGTTGATTGAATTATTAGGACCTACACACCTGAGAAGCATAGAATACAGTAAAAACCTTGGATGGAGCTGTACGATTTGGACTTTGAAGATTACTTGACCCTTCATCTAGCGGCCTTATCAGCAGTCGGTCTGAACATTCAAAAGGCGTAAAACAGTATCTTGAATTACAACACTACAAGTACCAACCAAATCACACTTGATAATGAAGTTTTGAATGTGGGTAATATTATTGATAAACAAAGAGAATCATATGCAGATGTCATGGGCAAAATTTCTACAATTTAAGAATAACTGGTATTCAAAACAACTGTCACCCAAAATCACTGTCAGAGTTTTCAACACCACCATTAAAATAGTCTTATTCTTTGGAGATGAAACTTAGAAAACTACCATTTATAAACATGTGTTTACGTAAAATACTCCACATCCATTGATAAAAGACCAGGTGCCGACTGAGGAAAAAATAAAAAGACGCTGAAAGTGGATAGTACAGAATGCCCAAACCGTCAAATTGCATCAAAATAATTCGTTACTTGGAATCCTCAAAGATAAATGATAAGAGGCAGATTAGAGAACACATGGTGCCAAAAATCGGAGTCAGACATCAAGAGAGTGAGTTGCATATGTGAACAACCGAAAAGGGTGCTCAAGACAGAGTTGGTTAGGCATTCCTGGTCAACAGCCTATGCTTTTAACTATCAACCGGGTTATTAAATAAATTAATAGGGATTTTCATGGTATATCATCATTCCATTATCAGAATTCATATGCAGAGTGATCATCTATTGTTCATAGGGGAAGAGCCACAGATTTTCTCAATTTTATGTTAGCTAGTATTGATAATCTCTGCTTACATACATATTATTTTTCTCCACATTACTCTCCCGTTGGTTCTATCTTTGCAAATATCCATCTTGCCCAGTGAAATTGTTTGCTATTTCGTTATTTCTCATGTATATACATTTTAGGCTTTCTCTAATCTAACAAAAGCTACATGTCGTTCCCTATGCTCAGTCATGATGCTAGCCATTGTTCGTGAAGCTGGTCAAATCGTATTGGATGATAATGAAGTATTGGACACTTGGTCTGTTGTTCTGAATGGGACTGTCGAGGTTAGTTGATAATTTAGCATATTCTTTTGTATTACATTGTGCGAGCACACACCTACATGGCTTTTGTATATACCGTTCTATACGATAGTTATCACAACATTTCTAAACTTGACACCTGAAACAAAAAAATATCAACCAAAAAATTGTCAACCCTTTGCCTAACACTGCGTATCCTGAGCAAGCCTGGTTGCTTTGTAATAACAAGTAATTACATCTAATTTTTGTGTTTTCATTATTTATAGCTTATTATTACCAGTTCAAAGATCACAACGCCTACTGCAGTTTAGGTAGCCGGTCACTATCACTAGTTCTCATAAAAAAGGAAGTATCGTTCAAACCTGAGTACACGGCTACTGTACTTTTTTACTGAGTTACACAAAAAATGAGTGAATTCGCCAGATTTGGGAAAAACACTACGGATACTGATCATTTATCTACTCACTCACCTCCATTGATCATAGCTTGGATTGTATATATATATATATATATATATATATATATATATATATATATATATATATATATATATATATATATATATATATATATATATATAATTTCTTTCAATAATAACGAGTTGTTTATTTGGGTCTTTTCACATTGTGTTTACTAATAAAAGTTAAAATCATAATGTATTTTCTTGTCTCTGTTTAACGTTGCTCATTCCCTTGTTAACTATTCACTGTCTCCTGTTTTGAAAATTGCTTTTCTCAGGTTATTGAACCAGACGATACAATTCGGGAATTAACTCGTGGTGATGCATTCGGTGTTCGTCTTGGTAAAACAGATTGTATTCATCATGGTGTAATGCGTACAGTCACTGAAGACTGTCACTTTTTATGTGTACCACAAACCGATTATGTAAAGATTATGAGTCGTGAAGGAGAAGCTGAAATACCAGAGATGGGTGAAGGTGGACGTGTTGTCCTTGTCTATGAATCAATGAATTTAGACACAACTCTTAACATCGATTCGAATAAATCATCCAATGACTATAGTTCTGTGTTGTTGAAAAAATGTCGACTGGTCACAAAGGTTTGTTTTGAAGATTTTTGTTTAAAAAGGTCAATTAATTCAGAAAAATCGGTAAGGTTACTTTTAACCAGAATCTATGGTTACGTTTAAAATTAGTTAACTAGTGAAGAATGATCTGAAAAGGATGAGGGTATTGGGAAGCTGTTTTACCTTAGTTTAAATCCTCAAAAGTCTGCATCCACAACATTACATGGATGTGAGTAGCTACACGAAATTTGACTCAAATGATGGATTGATTCTTTACTCAACCGTTCATATGTATTATGTTAGCTGGGGGACATAAATGTCATAAAATTATCTCTTTATGAGGTCATGAGTCCACACTACTCCGTAGTAGAAAATGTGAATAAAACAGTTCTGCAACACTTCTCAGTTGTCTATAAATCTTTACGTGTTATCATTCCGGTGGTGACAGATTTCAACTTTCTGTATTTACTAACCTACACGAAATCAGAAATTCTGTAGACTGTTTTGTTATATTACTTCGAAATCTGCCTCATAGATGTAAGTAATAATAAAATTTTTCTTATTCAGTTAGGGAAATACTTCCTTACCCTTTAATTGTATTGCTCAATTACCATGTGTATCCATAGAAGTATGAATGTCTGGGATATGATATGATCGTTTATATTACGTCGGAGCTCGTGTTGAAGCAGTTGTATTGATGTTTAGTAATCAGTTTGCATGAAAAGAACACTCTTAAACAAAACTAGTCATCCCAAAAATTCTCCATCTTCACTGTATCACTATTGAAAACCTACTGAGTTAGTGTCTTTTTTCATGATGTGTTTTATCAATCACAATTTTATAACTGATCCAGGCATCCAACATCTAAATTTATTGTAGTGTTGGGGTGATAAACATTCTTAGTTATCAACCCTCAACTCACCCTCAACTTTAAAGGTGATTGTTGCATATTAACGCACACTCTGTTACGTGAGTAGGTCTAACAAACATTCATCTTAACTGTTCACTATTGATGACCACAGAGGTATCAGTTTAAAATCATGTACTTGTTGATGGTTTCCTGTATACAGAAAGTGTGCTTATCAAACATTTTTTTCTGCTATTCTTGAAGAGACATGTTAGTACGTTATTACTCTTTCAGAATGTAAAAATGTTTATCACGTTTTTTTAAATGATACGTTCATAATATTCTATCAGTTATGAAGGAGCTCTCGTTAAATAATCATGTATGCTCACCACGAAATTTCTTGTTTAATATAAATACTTGAATATATTCAAATTGTAATGAATCATGCTGGTTTCAAATCAGTATTTTTTTACTTTAGTTAAGTCACTATCTTCCACAAAATATACACTTTCATTAGTAAAGTATTTTAATTGTAAGTTCGCATACATACAAACATCAATTATTCAATCTTTTCTGATATTGTTTTCGAGCCAGTATTTCATTGCTTTTTTTGTTCAAATTATTTTAGGGCACACCGGAAAAATTAATTGAACATTTAATTGCTGATCTGTCTAATGGAGATATAACGTATCCAGAAGATTTTCTACTTACATATCGTACATTTTTAGATTCACCCCGACCAATAGTTGATCGTTTATTATCATGGCATTTGCATAATCCAAAGTTACGTACACGTGTTAATCGTATAATTTTATTATGGGTTCATAATCATTTTAATGATTTTGAAGATAATCATGAGATGATGAAGTGCATTGAAAAATTTGATAATATGTTATCATCCGACGGCACGGGTAAGCGAGTGTATACGTCTATATGTATGATCTTTTGTTTTATATTCAATCAATAGAACATTGTTCAGATAATCTTACCGGATAGTTTTATTACTAGTATGTAGTATATTTAACCTAGCGATTTTAAACATCAAGTAATTTTACAGGTTCGATTTTCACTCTGATATGACATAACACACTTCACCTACTTCCTTATGACCAACAGGATATCACCGGCTGTCACACAGATATTAAGGTGGACTACGCAAACCTTTGGTTGACAGATGAATTATATCAATTATTATTCTTATGTTATCTTTCCATGTTAATGTTTCTGACAACTATTTGATTAGTCAAATGTCTAGTTTCGAATCATTCAGTTAGTTCGTTATACTGATGGTAAATCTTAATATCGCGTCCTGAACTTTGATCTCAGTTTGTTTTAGGACTATCAGAAACACTACTCAGAGTCGGATATATTGTTGGAAATATTTGATTATGTAAACTATTAGATGGATGTTGTTGTTGGTAGTGGTCTTAAGGTGTATAGGAACTTTAACATGTACTACCGTACAACATAGCTCATCTCCAGTTATCACTGACGTAGTTCAAATTAACTAGACTATCGATTCATTCGTCTGAAGTTGAGTGTATCTATCAATTCATCCGGCTTAGTATAGATTAGCGAATCTAAAGATATCATAGCTTTGAGTTTTCACCTAGGTTTTTTCAACGGACAACGTTTAGTGAGTTATTCATCAATCTATCTCAACAAACTGTTCATTTTGTGATTTTCAGTTCTTATTTCCATGTGTTTGTGTACTGGTCTTTGAGCCACATTACTTCTGGGTGAATTCCAGTGCTATGTTCTTTTTCCAAACACTAACGTTGATGTCGCGAAGTTCCAACTATGGGATCTACTGATTGATGTTGATTTCTGATTTATTACTTGGGATATTATGTTTTGATTCGGACTAATGAACTATCGCCTTTGAATTAGACCATTCACATCAGAAAAAGGTTCAACTTCAAACAATGTATTTAGTTCATTTACCCATCATTTTTGATAGTATTGAAGTATCAAACTATTTTGATTGATCATTAATGGTTAAATAAAATTTTCACCTTTAATTATCTACGTAATGTGCATTGAAATGCTCGACTAATGTTCATGCTAGAGAAGAGAATTTACTGAGTTCATGTAAATTTGCATGGTGATCCATTACATGTATGCAGAACTTTTTTATTATACATTTTTATCATACGTAGTTTGCATGAAATACCTAAAACAGAATAAAATCACTACAAAAACAAACCTGTTGTGTCTTGATGTACACAGATTAGATCTAATTGCTGTTTAGCAATAGAATCACTTTTCTTAAACAATTAAATTCTAAATCAATTTGTTTCAACTTGAGTGATTGAATATAGAGATTATGAGAGAGAAGAGGTATATGATTAAAAATACATTGCAGTAATACAGATTTGTTCATTCTTTATTTCATTGCAAGTGTTTGACTTAGTACTTTTATTTGTTCACATTTACCTTCCTATTGACTTCGTCTTGTTGTGCTAATATGGACTGTGTCAACCTGATCTGTTATATATTTTTGCTTACTCTTGTATGATTCATATTTATTAGAGAAAATATATATCACGTTGAAGTATGATAATTATATGAAATTAGCGATTAGAATTACAGCAATCATTGTCATATCGAATAAGTTATGTAGGTTCTTTGTAAAATACTACTATCATGTATCGCTTCGTGTTGGTTTAGATTTGCATAGATAACTTTTGGATAAATAATACTAGCTTACAAGAAAACATCAATTTTACTTGTTAATTTTTTTTCAACAATTTCGACCAATATATTTGCTTGTTTATCATTTAACCAGTCAATCACTTGAAAATCATTTCGACTGATTAAGCATAATAATTTAGGAAAAATAAAGTGATATATATATATATATATATATATATATATATATATATATATATGAATAGTGTTTCATTCAATTAGAGATTTTATGATTGGGTTTTGGACTAAATTCTCATCCTCAACTGGGAAGTAAGGTGTGTACCATGTTGAAAAAAGATACACATTTTGTCTATGATCAGCATATTCGCCTCAGATGTTTACAGATTATAGTGTGACAATCTACTGAATAAACGCAAAATGATTAAATGTAATTCAATGATATTTTTTTCATATGAGTAAGCACCGCTTGGCTTACTTTATTTACTACCATTTATCGTAAAACAATTTAATTTATGGAATAGCTTAATTGGTGTACGGTGTTTGTATAGGATGAAATTTTCAATTTTGGAAAGAACACAAGCTCAAAATAGTATGACTGGGTATACTGTTTTCCTTTGCAAACTCGTTGCAACTAAGTAGTTTTTTTGGAAATCGGTATAAACAGCATAGGATCAAAAGTACATACCGATCAGAAAGCCCGAACAAGATAACCAGATTTGGGAATAATCTCTTCTTCATCGATCTGTTCCCAACGTTATTTTGGATGGAAAAAAATACAAGGTTGTAGGATTTCGAAAACACATTGACTGAAAAGTCGTGCGAAACATGATAAACTTTTGGAAAGTAGAATACCATCGTATTCATATTGCAGTTGAATTTCTACTTCTTATTTCGAGAAAAATTCCCTTCGTTTTTATTATCATTACAGCTGGTGAGCGTCGTCTATTTCGTTTAGCCTGCAGTACCAAAGCTCGTCCACGTCAAGTCGAACTTACGATTCCGTTGAAAAATTCATGTCATTCAAATTTAGATAATAAATCGTTCGGAGTTGATGATGGTACTGGGTTTTTGTCACCAAATGTACAACACTTAAACAATAATTGTAATACAATAAATTCTCTCATTGATCTACCATTCACAATGATTGGTGGCGAAGATGGTTTTGGCGTGTTTATACATCAAGTGAGTGATTTTGGTTGCATCTGTTTCTATGAAGTTTTCTGTTACGCATGTACCAATGTACCAAAGGACTGCGTACATATTTGTATCAATCAACAAGATAAGAAATACATGTTATGGAGTGTATGTTTGGGACAAAATCGACGAATCGAAGGTATGAAAAAGAAATGAAACTCAATTTGACATCTGAAAGTTGCTTGATCACATTTCTGACTATATACAAATTGCATTTTGACAAGTTTTTTTCTGTCGTGCTCATTGTGATTATGTTTGATGGCGAGATTTTCTTGCTTACTGAAAGTTATTTGGTCCATATTTATTTGTTAAGGTGTAATCTTATTGTGTACACCTTTCATCCAATATACAGATGAGGAAAAATAGTAGTGTTTTTCATGTCTATTGTTAAACGGCAGCATCTTCTATGTCTTCTACCTAAATGCATCAGTACCTCCTCAAACTATTTCTCAATATGTGTTACCCGCCGTGTATTTTAAGTAGTATATAATCAACCCTTCTGTAAGTTTTTATCGTCAAATATTTTTTTACCGTTTATTTTGTGATTGCTCACTCAAGGTATGCAGTTCAGTCTCAAACAATAATTCTGAAACAAGCTATGATGAGCACACGAACCAAAAATATCTCACTAATCCATCTTCATTATCGTTATCATCACCGTGCGATTCAAGCTATCCACCATCATCAACAGCATGTGTACTTCCTAATTTTTCATTTGTACATAATCAAATACGTCGGGCTGACCAATTATTATCGGTAAATGGTCGTTCAGTGGAACATTTAAAACCATCTGATGTAATACAGTTAATTCATTCAATGATAAACGCATGTTGTCCAACGGATATTAAGACTACATCAAATACCAAACTAGTATCTGGTACCAGTGGATCATTGTCTCCGACTGCACATTATTCAACCGGTATAGACAATGGTACTATGGTAGATCATCCCAAATCATCTACATTATCGTCAGTCATCAGTGTTACTTTCAACCTCCGTTTATTAGTTATTTTTAACCCAGTTCGTAAGTAAAATCACCTGTTACAGCTTAATTTTCCTTGAATTACTTTTCAGTAAATGCGTAAACTAGAAACCAAGTAAATCTCTGCCTTTCTGTTGAACTATTGTAGATGTATGGTAGCACATTTTTTCATCTCATCGGCTTTCGGATTCCTTTTTCTGATGTAAAAACTGGTGAAAATATCCAATCTTCCTAATCGAAGAAGATATGGCTGGCTTCGAACCTACGTCTCAACGGTTGAAAGTCAGAAGCTCTGACTATTAAACCAAAGTCATCGCTAATCACTTGATGGATAATTAACTGAGAATAACCTGCATGCTACAAAATTTTAAACACTTCCTACTTACTGAGACGCGCGTTGACACTTAACATAAGAATAAGTGAGATATCCGTTGCGAGGCAGACAGATTTGATACTTGTTGTTGTGGTTGTAAATCGCTTTATTCCTTTTAAACCATACTGCTTCATGTTTGCTCAACTTATAGTTTTTAACAGCTAACGTACTTGTGATAACTTTTTTAGAGTCTCACTAGTTTGAGTATATTTTCTTTCTCAGATGAAATGCAAAGATCTTATGGAAGTTCTGTTCCAAATACAAAATTCAGTATATTGCCGTTGGCCGGTTCACTTCATGCTAGTATGCTAACATTTAGAAGTGTGTGTGAATTAATCATCGAATTTCATAAAATTGTCGACCTGCCTGACGGCTTTCAAAAACCAGGTTAATGATCTTTTGCGCTGGAAATAATTTTTGGTAGCTCATTGTCGTCAGGTTTTCGGCTCCTAGCAAACGCAATTATTAATTCAGACTTTCAGATACAAACTAAAAATTTGTTAGTTTGTAACATCTTCAATTGATAACATGGCGAAACACTAAATTTATAAACATTTAATATGCCTTTGATTTTCAAACTGTTCCAAAATATATCTGCCTTAAAGTACTGTTAAGTAGAAAAATTAACGGAGTATTTTTCCTGATATTTTTAAAACGTTCACATCAGCAAACACATTTGTGTATTTTAATGTGTGAAGTTATATTCTCATGTCTCCCAATATTAACGTTATTTTCCAATACGTTTATTTAAATTGTGGAATTTAACATCTTTCCTTAACTCGAAAAATTGCTGTTAACTTTGAACAACAATTCACATCAAATAATAAAATTAAGATTCTATAGTAATTTTTTCGTAGACCACAAAATTTCGCTAAGCTAGTAACTGTAGTAGTTGTTGTTGTTGGCTTCGTCGCCGTCGAAGACGTTGAAGTCATACTGAATTTTGTCGCGGAACGTAGTTCTTATCAGTGAATTTTGATTTTCTATACGTTGTACCCGATGATATGTTGCTCCACATTTTTAATCCCTAGGTATTTCATTCGAGTTGCGTTAGAATAGTCATCACTTGGAATTCCAGCTACATGAGGCCATCGAATTCAAAATATAGTGAAACAAATCTCTTAAGCAAAATGCCTAACAGTCAAAATTCTATTATTAAGTATGGTTTGATGGTCTATTAACATAGTATTTGTGTCACTGTTTATGTATGTGTTTGCGTGGGTAAATCATAATGATTAGTTCAGTCTGTTGTCTTATTCGAAATAGACATTTCACGTGTGTATCAATAATTGGTCATAACTTGTAAGCAACACTTTTGATGTAAAACTTAATTATATGTTTTTTCTATTACGTTTACTTTTTCTCTTTCAACAGAGTATTATCAAGCTATTAACTCTTTAAATACATCACATACTGCTCAAACTTCGATGAAGCCGATCAATGAAACATTAAATCCTTATCAAATTGTTGACGATGTAAAAAACCACATGAAGAAATCTTCACCATCATCAAACATCACATTGAATAATCACAATGGTAATAATGAAATTTGTCGACTAAAAATGCATAGTTTGTAAGTTGTGAATTTATTTATTGTATATGGTATTTCCTCCATTTACCTTTTGCTTCTTGTTACTAGTAGTTCCCTCTGAATTGTTGGGCTGGGTCTATTATATATAATGACTGTACTATGTGACAGTGGTTTCTTTTCCAAATAATTCCATTGCTACTTTTAACCACAAGCAAAATTTGTTTTACTTTCTAGACAATAAAGCAAACTTCATATTAGATTTGTAGTTCTTTAAGTTCATCTTACATGTTCAAATTTAAGAATAACTTTTATTACAAACTAACCATGAGATGAGAAATTATTGGAAATCGAGAAGTTCTACATGTCTGATTTGCAATTTCGACTTTATCGTCAAGTGACTGAAGTTAAAAATGTGACTGAACCATTAAGTTTCAACCCACAGTTTTGGAATCAACACTTGTTGCGAGACCTGAAGTTCATGTATTTTGAATCCCTATCAGAAGATTCACTTATTGACTTAAAATGATGTAGTCTTGTTTAGTGAGGACGCTTATAAGATTCAGAGTCTTATGATCGCACTAAGCAACAATGCATACATGCTTTGGATGGGTTTCTCTCTCTTTAAATACAAAATTTCCTTTCAAGACTGTTGGGATGATCCAGAAAAATCCTCGCAAAAGACACGCAAGGATCAGGAAAAATTAAGAAGCATTTCATTCAATCAGCGTTCACTTGGAGTTTGGCCAGAAATGGATTACTCAATGCTCTAATGGTGGGAAGTAACCGTGAACTATGAAATCAATTATTTATAGAGAGTAAAGTAATTACATCCGTGATGAAATGGTATGATGGTCGAGAAATATCATCAATTGATTGGAAGTGAAAATAATGGTCACTGGGGTTTGTGTGGACATTATTTTTGGTGGGTTATTATGACAAAACCTCTAAATGTTATAAATAAGAAAAATAAAGGATTTCAATTTAATGGAAACATCGAAACAGATAAATGAAAATACGTACATACACACATAAACACCATCGATCTAATGGTGACGATAGCTGTTCAATGTGTCTATACAACAGTCTTACATTTCATTGATAAGTTGGAATTAACTTTAAATCGTGGAAATGTTTGTAAAATAACATCGATGATAAGGAGTACCCGTTAATTTGTTAGTGAATAGGACAAAGAGAGGTCCTATAATTGAACTTAATAGAACTTCACTTGTCACAGCAAACCAGTTCGATAAAACGGAGGAGACGCTAGTAGCTTTTGGTAATCTCTCAGTAAGGTAGTCGTGTAAGTAACTTGAGGAAGAAATCATGGATACCTACAGGTTTTAATTTGTAGAGTGTCCCACTTAATCCTCCCTCTTTTTACGATCGACATATCTTTCTTTCTATGTACTAATTCTTTCTTCCTGTACTATATCCTTATATGCAATCTTTCTTTTATATATTACCACCATTGAATTAACTACTTCTATGAATCCGGTGTTCATCTTGCTGTGCTAATGTGGTATGGCAACTCGTACCGATGCATATATGTGCCTGGTCCTACGTTGTAGCTGACTGACTGATTTCGAGTATACAATTGGTGAATTAGTGAACAATAGGATCTCTAGTGTCGTTAGAGGTAGGATAGGGACAAACGAAGACATGGGGTCAGTCCATGAAGACGCTGACTATTGAACTGGGCCATGTGGATAGGGACGGACTACTTGGTTATCGTCCACGTGATTATTGTAACCGATGGTTGGAGACTTTGGGTGACATGGATCAAAATGGTTTGCGATGGAGCAGGCACATTCACTCTTCGTCTTCTCTTAAATTGTAACTTTCTAAATTACCTTATGAATTTTTTATTCCACTAATCCATATTCTCTTCCCAAATCCTATCTAAGATGCTAAATCTTTTCAACCGCCGTTAATGTTGTTACTACATGTACTACTTTGGGATTTATTTTGACAATTTCTTCTCGCTGTGCTAATAGGGTGTAGCAACCTGGATCGATATACACATGTCAGGTTCGACATTACTTATGACTGATTAATCGGTGAATTCGTCAATTTAGAAATATGTTTACACAAACAATACAACTTAATGTTCACAAACAAAAACACCCTAAGAATGACAGTTAGAATATTAAGCAATGAAGTGAACACCACGGATACTTGAAGTGACATGCAATTCAATTAATAAAAATTATTATTCCAACGACTACCTCAAACATATATGGGTACAAGTGATGTATACAGATCGTAGTTAGTAGGGGTAAGGGACAAACAAAGGAAAAAACTTTATGACCACTGATACGTACACATATACAGAGTGAATAATTAAGTGCTGACATGAGAGTTGCCATATTATTAAAAGGAGCACAGTTACAGATAATGCTAGGAAACATACAACGTACATAAATCTATACAAGCAGACAGAGGAAGATCATTAATGGTTAGTTTACAGGAGAGGTGAGGAGAAGAAAAAATAGCCATAATGAGAACATTTATAACATTTGATCAGTTTCAAGTGGATCAATCAACTAACCTGCCAATATGTTTGTGATCTACAGAAATTTGAAAAAAATAATTTACACAAAACAAAACAAGCGAACAAACAAAAATGAAACTCAGTAGACCAATAAATACAAGAATATTATAAAAAAAAAATATCTACCAGATACGTGTGCTTTGATGAATATCGACCCTCTGAAGACGACGATAATAACGGAAAAGATAGAAAAAATGGAGCATAAACTAAATATAAACTCTTTATTGGCCCAGACATTAATCTCTTTTCCGATTAGCGATATATATATATATATATATATATATATATATATATATATATATATATATATATATATATATATATATATATATAAGCTGAAGTACAATGTCATGATTAATGTGGGCAAATATTTGTTCCAAACCTTGTCAATTATTTGTATTCACTCAAATTTCTATGTAATTATTGAACTGTTATCGACTGATTACAGCGATCATTATAGGTTACTCTCGATATTTTCATTAGAAATGTAATATTATGGTGATATTACTTAATTTAGGATTCATTAAATTATTTCGGGGAGAATTTAAACCAATGAAATAAATTAATAAACTACTGAAGAAAATGAAAGCGTAGTAAACAGATATTTGAACTTTTTAAACACATATGACAACTTTCAATGTTATCCATATCGAGAGGATTAAGTGTGTGTCTAGTTAAGTAGAATTTAAGTGGAGATCAACAAGAGATTTAAATACGGGATCAGTTCAAGAAGTCAAGAAAATAGCCAAAGCTGCAGCTTTAGCACTTACATTAGCTGATATCTTAGCTGATGCCAATCGATTAGTCTAGATCGCTAATCGTCCCAGTCTATAAGAAAGAACCAAGGTCCTCCTGCGACAATCACAGTGCAATCAGTTTTACTAACAAAGTGTTAGAAATATTAAGTAGAGCTCGCGAAGAGCGAACCCGAGGAAATCAGACTGGTTTCATACCTGCACGTGAACGCATAGACCAAATATTCACCCTTCGACAGGTTCCAGATCTATTGAATAATTATTTACTAAATATTTTATTTCCCAACAATCCTTTTTATAATACATGAGACTTAAGTCAATATCGAGGTAATCCGCACAGGATGCACATATGCCAATCAGAGATTGATTAATTGCAGTCATAAACGTCAATGGGAAGATTCAAACGACCAACACAAAGTGAAATAATCTTTCTTCACTATAAATTTTCTATCCCTTTTCTCACTCCTATTGGTGTTCATATTTATATTGTGTTTGTCTCTCCTACCACTGTATTGTGGTATGAAACAACGTACGGTGATGTAAATTTATCGAGTTACCGACTTGTTAATTTGTGGGTCCATCGATCAAACAAACTAATGACTTATTGATTTGTTGACCCGAAACGCCGGATCTGTTAATTTGTGATAAATGGAGGATAAATATAGAATTTCATAATATAGTGACAATTGTACTAAATGAACTAGTGTACACTGATTATAGTTTCACATAAACACAACTTACGTGGTTCAACAGTCTTGAGATCATTTACGACTGGACGAACTATAGTCATACCAGGACTACATGAAGAGGCTCGATAGTTGCTATGATTACAGTTAGAAGATAATGTAGCCATTGTTCGTTGTGGAGGTTGTGGGCGTCCATGTGATGAATAAATATTTGTACGTGGATGAGATTGAGCAGAGATAATTTTCAATGACCCTTGATTATTTCCTTGTCGTGACATGGATAAAACCTTGATTAAGTGATTTCGAATTATATGAAAGAGATTTACAACGAGAACAATTTTGCAATATGAATAATTAAAGACAAAATTTCAGAAATGAAAAATTGTCTTGTAACAATCAATAATCTGGAAATGTTTATAACGAGTCATGTTTGTATAAATGTTTCATGACGAACAGTTATAGAATTTGCACGAAAGGTGAATCGTTGAGGTTCTTTACATAGACAAGTTGAGGTCAAATGAATGACTACTTGGATCCTGGATGCACATTTCGAAAACGCAGCATACATCGATGGCGCGGGATTCTAGTATTCTAAATAAAGAAACCTGTTGTCCTATCTGACACAAGGTTTCAGCATTAAAAGCTCCAACATGTAGTTTAAGGAGTGGTTTCAGGAGACCAGGAATGACATTTCATGAACTCAAATCATTAGTATTGGCGGTGCGCAGTGATCAAGATAAGTGAGAAGGATTAGTCGTTGAAATGGAGGAATTATCAAGACGTAAGTGCGGGATTGAATCATGAACATGATGATCTTGGGTACTGATAGAGGTGTACGGGAGTTTGCTACTTCCCGGCTGCCCATTTTTTGGAAGGATATGTCTTTTTCAAGACCTGGAAAGGAATGTGAATTATTGGTAGTCTTAGTGACCTAGGACTGTGACAGCAGAGCCTCAGGGACAACTATCTGTGGCCCATCACGCATTACCTTTTCATGGGAAGTTTTTGATATGTTTGCTCCGCACTTCTATTGGCCTTACTGTAGGGACA